CGCGCCCCGCGGCCTGCGGGCGGGCCGCGCCTCCGCCGCGTGTCCGGGCGGTGCGGGACCGCTGGGGCCCGGGGCGGGCCGTGAGCGGCGCTGGCAGCGGGGACGTGCGGGGTCCGCGGGGAGAGCGGCCCGTAGAGGAGCGGCGGCCCGTCCCCGCCGCCCCGGGAGCTGCGGGGGGCCCGCGGCGTCGGGGCGGGAGGAAGGCGGAGGCGCTCCCCGGGTTACCGTGTGCGGAGGCCGGGGCGGGCGGGCGGGTCGGCCCCGAGGGGAGCCCCCCGCTCCTCGGCACCGCTGTCTTCTGCCCTCGGTGCCAACTGTCCCTGCCGGGCCTGCGGACTTCTCGCGGAGTTGTGTCGTGTTTCGCTTGTGGCAAATTAGCTCCAATGCACCACTCCAGCAGAGTCTTGCTTCCCGAAGCTGTAGCGCTGCTAATAAACAACTTTGGGTTTAAGGATAAGGTTTTTAGAGATGTGGCTTTAATTAACTTCCAGAGGATTTGTTGGCGCAGGAGCTGCCGTGGGGCTGTCCTATCATAGTTACTCCGCGGGGAATTGGCACCTTTAAGCTACCCCGGTGCTTCTCTGGCTGCATCCATACAAAAAGATTTAATGTAGGAATTAGTTGTTCACCTGGTGTAGCGTGGCTAGAGCCGGGACAACAACATTCGCTTATTCTGGCCTTATGACCACTAAATGACCCTTAACTATGTGATCAGCTGCGTGGGAAATGGTCAGAGCCAGGAAATGCTCTTAGATGGAAGTTCTGGAGTAGCTCAACTCATCTGAGTGTTGGGATTGAAGTGGGAAAAAGGCTCCCTGCTTTTCTTCACGTGGAAAGCTCTTGCACCTTGTTCCTCAGCCACCCCCACATCCCCACCCTTGAGGAAAAGAAAAGAGAGTTTCTTACAGCTTTTTATGTTGCAAATGAGATGTCCCACCAGCACCTGGGGGCCTCTTTGACACCTGTTTGCTGTGTGTGTCTGTGGCATCCCGAGAGCACCCGTACAGATGCGGCCCCGGCAGGTGTTTGCAGGGGCTCTGTGTCCCCATCCCTGTCCCTGGTGGTGCTCAGAGCTGGAGAAGGAATCCTGCTCCTCATGGGAACTTGGGCCAGATGGGTCCTTCCGTGTTTTATTGCCACTTTGTCATTTTGGGGGAATTTCGAAAACTTCTTTCCCCTCAGCTGATGAGAACTTGAGCTGCAGTAGTGGAGTAGAAATCCAGTGCTTCCATTCAGGAAAATGTGATGAGATTTGGCCCTTCTGATGGGGAAGGTAAAATTCTATATATGCATGTGTGTGTGGACAAACTTGCAGGACGATTGGGGCAGAAGTGATGGAGAGAATGAATTTTGTTGGATTTTGGTTTGGGTGTTGGGTTTTTTTCCTCCTCTCCGTTCTGGCAGTTCATTTTAAGAAGTTTATTAGGCAGGGAGCCGTTCTCTGCCTCCCGTTTCTGCAGGGTTTCCCGAAAAATGGGAAGAGTGACACAAATGTGAAATTGGTTGATCTTTAAAGAATAAATAAATAAATAAATTTTATGTCTCAAATCTGGAGTAGATGTATTTTTCATGCCAGTTAAGTGTTGCAAAAGCATTTATATGAAGCTGGGTTTATGTTTTTGGACATTTGGCTTGTTTATTTAAAGATGACTTTTAAATTGTATCCTCTAGGTTGCTGCTAGGGACTGTGGTGGTTGTAGGCACCACATTATTAATGGGAGAAGTTTTTGTTGATACACTCAATGTCATCAGCTTTCTTTTTCCAGGCTTCTTGCATGCTGCAAGCAGAAAATCCCATCCTGCATTCCTCTAGGTGAATGTTTAGGAAGTAGGACAACTTCATTAAATAGTTTTCAAACTTTCGAGTTCATCTTGAAAGTTCCAGGGTTATCCGTTTCTTTAAGCTTTGTCTGGTGGTGAATTTTAAACCAGAAAGTCTGAATTGTGGGGGTGGTGTTTCCTATTAGCTTGGTAGTGTTTGTTATGTTATTTTTTGTTTGTTGGGGTTTTTTTTGTTTTGTAATCGTTTGCGTGAGTTTGTGCAGTGAATGTTGCTGACTGCTCCAGCTGCGTGCAGGGGTGTGGGCTAAGGGAATGTGCTTTTGCTGCATGGGGGAGGTGAGGAAGGGTGCAGCAGTTACCTGGGGGTGGTTAAATTCCCAGCTGTGGACCCGCCTGCTGTGGGAGCTGACATCTCCATGGGGACAGGGATTTGCTGTCTAACAGGGGTACGGGTGAGAAGCTGTGCTTTCTGGAGTTGGAAAGCTGAGATATCACATTTAGTGAAGTGATCCAGGTGTGGTCGCTCAGGAGCGTTTCAGCAGTACTTCCTGATGCCTCATTCCAAGCCTTATTGGAATATTTGGGTGCTGTTATGCAATGTTGCAATGAGTGTTTCCTTTCCGCTTATTAAAATATTGCATAAATTTCAACGCTTCTTGCCAGTGGATTGAAGAACTAGATGTGACAACAATGGGTGTATTGAAAAGCTTAAAGTTAAGGCTTTTTAGTGGAAAATTAGTGCTATTTGTATCTTAGGCTGGAGTTAAACCATTAAAACCTATCTGCAAAATAATTAGGTTTGCTACCTTTCGTTATTACAGAAAAGCTCAACCAAAATGCTGCAGTGAACGTTTTTGCCCGACCTCTGTGTCCCTCATATTAAGATTTCTCTGGAGTGAAGTTTGCGTCAAGCAGACCCAGTTGGCTTCTAGTCTGCAAAGCTGTTAAGTTTAATCTTGTTCCAGTTTAATTTTAATGTCATGGATTGAAATTATATGCATGGCCATTTTTCTTTTTTGCGAAGAGTTGGATTTGGAACGAAAGCAAAATGGCTCGAGGACGCAAGAGCAATAGCATCAAACAGAGCGACTTCACTAACAGCACCAATCCTCAGGATTTAGAGAGAAGACTTTTTGTCGGCAATTTGCCCACAGACCACATGACTCGTGAAGAAATGGAAGAGATATTTTCAAAATATGGCAAAATCAGGGGTTAGTATATTATATTATGGCTTTTCGTGGCAGGGATTTCAGTGAGAAATATCGCTTCATGCCTGTCAAATGCTGTTTGATGGTGATGAGAGGAGTGACTAATGTTGTTCCTAAAAAGTGACCTTTTAATGATAATTTTCTCTGGAAAAGTGATTCCTTCAGTACAGCTCAAACGTAATGCAAATTTATCAGATGTGTTTTGGCTCTTGGGGTCACGGTGTGATGCTACAATGCTCTTTCAAGTGACTTCATAGCCTCTCAAGTCAAATCCTGGTCACTTCATGGGCTGTATTTTGGTCACTGCCTTGTCAGAAGGGAGTTGATCAGAGCCTTTGAGCTCTGCATTTTGATCCTGGTGGATTTGATTTTTCCCAGGAAGTGGGTAGAGCCCCTGTGGGAGTTCAGCTGGTGGGGTTAGGTGTGGGTCGGCACTGTGGCGTGGTTGTAACTGGTCTTGCCCTGCTGTTAACTCTTACAGCCCTCAGCATGTACCATGGCTATGGGTTCGTGCAGTATGACCGTCTAGAAGATGTCCAGGCCGCTCTGGACGGTGAGAAGGGTCGCCTTTATAAAGGGTATAGATTAGGTAAGGAAAACTGCTCCGCGCTCTCCTGACCCCAGCATGCGTTCGGGAGAAAGAAAGAGTGCTCTGGTTTTAAAGCTCCTTGAAACTGGCCCGGCCTTGGTCTCAAATCACTTTTGCTCAGTGTGGATTTGCCTCCTGAGTTCACACTCTGGGCTTCACCTGCAGTGTGGCTCACCTTGCTGCCCTCTGAATTTTTACGTGTTAGTGTTTGGGAAGCTCTCTTACCCCTGTGTAAGAAACTGTGCAACAAGTAAGCCCTGGAAAGCGATCCTTGAAACCTCCAACGCGGTTTAATAACATTTGTAAACCAAAACCGGGCTTCCTCTTGACATGCTCAGAGAAATTGGTCACAGCACTTAGTGGCTGGTTGGATAAGTAACCTTAACTCAGATTTTTGCCCATGTGGAACCAGCCTGTTAAGCAGTGCTATAAATACTGAGTACTTTAAAAAGGACATTTTCATAAAGATGAAGATAATTCTGCTAAATGTGCTGGGAGCAGACTTAAATGGAAATGAATGGTTAGAAATCCAAGAGTAATCTTCTAAATGGAAGGAAAAAAATTACTTTGAAGTAAGCCTGTGCTAATTTGAAGAAAAACAGTTTGACTTAGAAAAGAATGAAAGGAGCAATAAATAGTATCCTGTGGGAAGGTGTGTGTACAGTAAAAAATAGGAGCCTGGAGATGCAAATGGAGGCAAATAGATGAGGAGGGTAGAAGGATACAAGAAGAATTGATGTCCAGCATTGTCCAAGTGTAGTGGCAGTTTTAGAAACTAGGAGGTAACTGACTGGAAATGATAAAATTTCTTACTGGAGAGGACCAGTTAATGTTTCTGCTCTCTGTTTTTGAAGAGGCAGAAGGTGTGTTTAATATAATTTCCATTTCAGTAGCAAAACAAAAAAAGGTAAAACAGCAGATACCAAAACTAGACCTCTCAGAAGAATTAACATTTGTGAGGCTCGGTGAAATGCAGACCTGCCTGGGCTGTTACTGGTGTTTTTCCACAAGCCTGGGAGAACTAGGGAGTTTCCAAGGAGCTGGGAGAGTGCTGCAGGTGAGCCAATAGGCAGCGTAAATGGGATGAGCCTGGCATCAGTGCCTGGAAACAGAGGGATTCTTTCACCTGACACTAGTGAGAAGGGAACTGATTAGTGCCAATCAAAATAAATCCTGTCGAACTTACTCTTATGGTGCTGGAAGCAGCAGATGTACAAATTGCTGTGAGGGGTTTGATTTGATAAGAAACTGGAACGGTTAAAACCAACAGAGTTAAATGGGTCTCACATGAATGTCAGTGTAACACAGATGGAATATTCAGTGCTTTGAGTCATGGTCTGGAAAAACTGATTCCTGGCCATACAGTGCTTTTATAGGTGACTTGGAGAGAAAATAATGTTTTAAAAAGAGATAATGAGGATTGAGTCACTGATGGTGGAAGGACCTGGACTTGTTAAGCTGGATGCAGACAGACCTGAGCTTTCAGTGAAGCCAGAAGGGAAGGTCTGTGCCCGGCCAGTGCTTTGGACATCCTTGGCCCTACAGAACACAGGTGTGTGAGTAGGGAGGCTTTGGTACCTGTGGGGTTTTGCTGCTGGAATATCGTGTTCAGTTCTGCTTTGCCTGGTTCAAAAAAGGATAATGCTAAATTGGAGAAACCTTGGTAAAACCTGAGAGAGAGGTTTAGAGTTAAAGAACAAAAGTAGCAAAAGCCTCAAGAGGGAAAGGAGTGATGTGATCTGTGTGTTACAGGCAGACCTGGAGATCAGGGAGTTTTAATCTGGTAGGCATAGGTGTGACAATTCCTTAAATGGGAATAAATAGTTTTCTTTAACAGCAGAGTAATTGGCTTCCGGAATAACTTATTGGAGCTGTGGTGGTTTCTGTGCTCTGAAGACTTTTAAATTGGAATTGCATGTTTTGCTAAAAGATAAGCCCTAGTTCAGTGCCACTGCTGCACTTGAGAGAGGAATGTGATTCCAGAAACTCCTGTCACCTGTGTTTGTTCAGAAGGTTACACTGTGTGATTACAGTGGCCTTGTCATCTCAAAATCCTACAGGATAGAAGACTTTTTGTTTGGGTTTTTTTTCCTGAAGTTTTGTCAGTGTTCAAATACTTGACTTGTAAATGCTATTTGCATTAAATAAAGTGTTATTAAATCTGTTCATTTTGCACAAGAGATGGATCCCTGTCAAAGGTGGTTTTTTTTTTCTTCTAGTTAAGTATTTTTGTGCAGAATTAAATACTTTTTTTTATTTGAAATAAATGTATTGGGTGTAAAAATCATACTAGGTTTCTGCAATGGCATCTTAAAACAGAAAATAAAAATAATCTTAAACCAAAGAAAGCAGCTAGTGTCTTGCTTAAAGGTAACACTTGACTTTAAGGGGAAAAAAAATTACCAACTAAATAATAAATGCAAGGAGAACAGTTACTTCAGCTATGCAGACTGAGTATTAAATATAATTGCTAATAACTCAACAAGGTAAAAGGTTTGGGGAGGGTTTAACTCCAGTGCAGCATCATACAGGTATTTCCACAAATGCACAGAAGTATTTTCCTGTCTTTAGTGGCTAAAACTATGTAGACAGTAAATGTCCTCCACGTGTAGTTTGTGACAGTAGAAGCTGCAGCTGTGTTTGTTCCTGGAGAGATACTTTGGGGTCCTGTGAATGTTGTTATGCTGCAGTTGTAGTTAATGTTCAGATTGTTCTTACTTTTCTCCCCCCACAGAAAGGGAACATGCTGCTGCTTCATTGAGAACAAGAGCAAAAATTAGACCTGATCCCTTAATTCCAATTTTAGTCTTGAAAATAATAAAGGATAGTTTGGGAAGTTACAGAATATATTAAGACTGAGTCTGCCTAAAGACATTGGGGCATGTTTATTCTCTTGCAAGGGCTTTGAAAGTAGTTAATGCAAATAACTCATCAGAAATGTTAATTGTTGATAGATTCTGAGGGAGCAGATAGGGCCTAGGTTTGGTTTGTTCTTTTCCTTAAAAGGCTCTCAGTAAAATGTCCAAAGTCACTTCTACTTGCTCTTGCCCCACTCCAGTGCATTCTTTCATCTCCAGTCAGCTGTCATGGGAGACTTTGTTTCTTAACAGTAGAACAGTGTGGGTCCCTGCCAGTTCTGGGCAACTTCACTTTTGCTGGTTGAGAACAAGACTCTGTTTCTTCAGCTCTCTTACTTCTTTGTGTTTCACTTCATGGAGTTTTTCATGGAGATGTTCAGAAGCCAACCAGTTTTCAAATTTCCCGTCTGTTGCCTCAGTTTGCATCATGTTAACAGTGGTGTTTCGAGTGCACCATGTTGACTCCATGAGGAGCTTGTGCTCCAGGCTCCCGGGTCCCATTTCTTGGTGGTGGGGGCTGTGCACCTTAACTGCAGCAGTCCCTTGGAAGGCAGTTGCAAGTGCCACTTGAGAACCCTTGGATTATTTCCGACAAGGGTAGCGGCATGCTCCGTTGAACAGGACTGGCTGTGAACTTAAGACTGTGCTGGCCATCATACCTTTCTTGGAGGTTTTCAGACTCTGCTTTTTCTCCTAGAGTCCATGAGTCGCTTTCTGCTCGCTCATAGACTGCAGAAGAAAGAGGTTCTCTTATGGAATGAAGAGTCTGGGTGTAGGCCTGAACATGCAGGGTTAAAACTTCACCCAAAGCTGTCCACCCTATTTTGAAGTCAGAGAAATCCATGAAATTTTCATTATGTTGTACTATCTAAACTTAATAAAAAATTGTCAAAGTGACAATGTCTCTCTGCTGAATGGATTTTCTTGCACCATCTGGATGTTGTTGAGCTTAAGTTGCTTTCATTTGAATTGTGCTGATGATCTTTTTTTTTGTTTCATAGCATTGAACAGATGGGTTGATTATTCTTTACAGATATTAATAAAGCAGTGGAAAGAAGAAATATGAATAAGGCTTCATCAAGGTCCAGTCCGACACGAAGGTAAAGTATCTGGAAGCAGTGAGTTATAGTAGGAATTCAGGCCTCCAGGGCATGAGCCCAGCGGCCTGTGCTAAATGTCTGTGTCTCTTCCCTACCGCCACCTCCCCACTCAAACAGCGATGCTCTGGTGAGACAGTCGGGATGTGGCTGCTCCACCTCTGGGAGCCCTTCTGGCTCTGACACCTCGGGAGGCACGAGGGAAACCTTGTGTCTACTGCTGTTACTGCAGCCAAGTGTTAGGTTTTGCAGCACAGGCTGTAAGAGCCTTGTGAGGAAGAGTACTCTTGATGTTTGCTCCTGCCTCCAGCATTGGAGAAGCCCAGGCATAGGTAAAGAATGCCAAGGGGCTGCAGCACAGCACCAGGAACACTGCAGAGGACTTTGGGGTCTTGCCTTTTCTGATGGTGAAAGCTACCAGTGTGAGAATGAGACTGGAAAAGAGCACTTGAATGAAGCACAAGACGGAGCAAAATGTCTCTTGCACCGTCCTGCCTGCACCTGCGCTCTGTTGCCTGTGCCTGGAACCCCCACAGTGTGGTACTGACATGTACCCTCCAGCTTCTGGTTTACCAGTGGGCACAGTGTGACTTCCCTCTGTGTGGGAAGTCACAGGCAAGGGGAGAAGACATGGACTGACCTGCCACAGGAAGACTACTTCAGTTTCCTTTCCACAGCATTACTAGGGAGCACACAAAGACGTGCTGTGGTGTAGTTTGGTATAAGGCATCTACCCCTGTGCCTGTACTGTAAAGTTTTCCACACAAAGGAGTGGTTCTTGTTGAACTTGAAGGTAATCAAGCTCCCACGTGTCTGGTGTTCTTCACTAACTTGACCAGTTAAATTACCAAAAATGGGAAAAAAGTGCAACTAGCAGGACGTTTACACGAAAAACAAGGCCCAGAGAATGAGTAGCTTCAATTCTTGGCATCATTTATGTTTTTTATGTGCTGCACTTACCCTGCACAGGGCCAGATGTGCCTGCAGAGACCAGTGGGTGGGTGTCAGGCCCAGGAAATGCTTTGGGCACACAGCTCTTGTTCTGTGGGTTCTCGTGACGATGCAGCAAACCTTGGGCCAGGCAGAGTCAGGTGTGCTCCGTGCTGGTGTGAAGACCTTGGGAGTATGTGAGCAGCAGGCGCTCATGGCATGTCTTTGGCCTCTGTGCCACTGACGGCGCCGTGCAGCACTGCAGGGGTGAGGGGCAGGCACCCAGGCCGAGGGCACTGGTCCTTGGACCATGCTGCAGAGGGACAAGCAGCAGGCACTGATGCCATGGGCATCGGAACCTGTGTCATCCTGCCTGTGTGAGGTGCCCGTGTCATGGCCCTGAGGAGCACTGAAGGTGCGTGAGCCATGCTGCTGTGGGCACCAGGCTGTGAACTGAACTGCCACGGCTGCCGAAGGCTTTGGTGCCGCTGTGATGGGCACTGGATTCCAACTGGCACTGCAGACACCGTGGTCATCCCATGTGGTTAGCACCAGGTCCCACACAGCACCGTGGGCATGGGAGGTGATGAGCTCTCAGTCATCAAGTCCTGGGCGTGGCTGTGGGCGATGGACTCTGGCCCACGCCGTGGCCTGGGATCACCGCTGCCGAAGCCGGGGTGCAGAGCCCTGCGCTGCCGGGCCGGCGGTGCCGTGTCCCGAGCAGGTGTGGGTAGTGGTGCCACCACTGCAGGAGTCGGACCATGGAGACTGAGGTGTGGAAGCAGAAGGAGCTGTGCCTTTGTGCTGCCACCTCCTTGGAGCCGGGCAGCCACATGGGCACGAGAGCCGAGGGGACCTGTGCCACGTCTCTACTTCTGTCGCAGTTGTGTGTTGTTCATTCCGGATCTTTTTGTCTCTGCGGATAATGAATGTGGCCTGTTCTGGTCACCCCCACTCCAGCAGAATAAATGTCATATGCCAAACAATTCCCCTGCATCTGGCTGTTTTGCTAAATGGTCTCACAGCTACGGAAAGATCAACCACTCGACCTCCATTAGAGCAAGTCAGAAGTTTCCCCTGAGCTTCTGCCATTGTTCGCTGTAGGTTTGGGGGGAAGGGGGCCATGACTCTTACGAGATGTGGTTTCAACGCAGATCACAAACAAAAAGCACATTGCCTGTCCAAGAGGCTGAGGGAGTTTGCACTTGTTTGTCTGCAAATAGCGTGTCTCTTACAGGAGGAGGCTGTTTATGCTCTTGGTGGCAACTGTATCTTGTCCCAAAATCTGGCTTGTATCTGACACACAAACAGAGAATGCCAGCACTCCTGTGTGTCCCTAGCACAGCTGGGTGTCCAACACCAAAGTCAATGCACAGACTCTGCTCCTCCATCTTGTTCCTGTCCGCTCTGCCTGACCCTGAACTTGGGCACATCTGACTCGCTGTTCTCTCCAGGTGACCACTACCTGACTGCACTGCAGTGGGTGCAGACGTACGTTCTGCTTGTCTTTCATGAACTAGATTAGGCTGGTTGAGAGCTGTAAAAGTCTTGTCAAGTTCGGGAAATAAAAAGATTCAAAAAGCTGGTTTTTTTCCTGATGGTTGTCAGTATTTTGGGGAAAGAATATTCCGAACACATCAAGCGCAGTAGTTTCTCTGCAAGTTTTTTTTATGTTTGGCTTTGACTACAGTGAAGTTATGTTTTTTTCTGGAAAACAGGTTACAACTTGGAAAAAACACTACTGTTTTGGGGAAAGATGAAGACTGGAACATTATTCTTCCTTGCCTCTGAAGACAAAGTCTGAATGAGCTGGATCATTCAGATCCAACAGAGAAGCCTGTTGCGGCTGCTGAGGATGGAGTGCTGGTTGGGTTTAGTACCCTCTTAACATGTGGCATCATAAACATAAGACTGGCTCTCTACAGAAATATCCCTCAAATCCAGGACACGGCAATAGCTGTTATTGCTTTCTGTCAGCAGCACAAATGCAGCCACAACATGGACCCTGCAGTGTCTTTAGTCACAAGCTGCTCCTTTTTTAATCACACGCCAGTAACGTTATGTCAGGTGTTCTGCTGTCACTGACAAGTGAATTTAATGGATCCCTTGAACGCTCCTGGCTATCACATATTTGTAGGTAGTAGCCTACATCACCTTAAATTCTCTCAGAGAATTTGCAAAACATGTTTGATGGATGATCTGTGACTGACGTTGGAGGACAGAGGCCTTGAAATGGTCGTTTCTGAAGTGCCTGTTCACTTCTTCCACAGGTGCTCTACCCTTTTAGTGATGCTCCATTAAGGAGCTCTCTGGGTCTTGTTTGAATGAACATTAGAATTAAGAACCTCCTCCAGACTTCTTCAAAAATATGATTTTTGGGCAATTTTTGCTGTTGTGGGATAGGAGGGAGGATTCAGCTGCTGAGAGAAGGGTCGCTTTGGCACCTCAGGTAAGAGATCTGGGGGTAACCGTACCAATATTTACAGGCTAACGGAATTTCCCCGGTGTTTTCCTCAGAGAGCCATATGCCTACGGGGATGGCCGAGATGGCAGACGCGACCGTTCCCCTCTTCGGGGGAGCCCACGGAGGGACCCCAGAGATGGCAGGGATGGCAGGAACGGGCGAGATGCCAGAGACGCTCGAGACATTCGAGCCAGAGACATGCGTGACGCCAGAGACCACAGGGACCCACGGGACCTGCGAGACCCACGGGATATCAGGGATCCAAGGGACCTGCGGGACCCGCGTGATGTTAGAGATCTTCGTGACCCACGGGAGCCGCTGTATGACCGATACAGGGATCCGCGGGATATGAGAAATGCACGAGATGTGAGGGATCCACGGGATATGAGAGACCCGAGAGACCCCATGTACAGGTAAACTCGGCCAGATCGTGTTTGCCAGTTGGTTTTTGTGGCGTTTCTGCCACGCTGGCTGCGCTGGTTTAGGTGGTATCAGGTGTTTAAGGAAATCACCCTGGCTGGGGAGAGTCGTGCTGGGGGGGGTGGGTGGGTACCTCAGATATTAAACTTGGGGAGGGTCTGTGTGGGATGCACTGGCCGAAGTCACTGCCTGAGACTGTGCTGGAGCACGGAAACCTTTGCTGTTTCTGTGAACGTTGCAGACGAGATGAATCTTACGACCGTTACCTGCGCCTTGAGGACTATTACCGGCGCAAGGACGACTCTTACTACGACCGCTACAAGGACCATTTCGATAGAGCTCCAGTGAATTCAGAGGGTGAGTACCTGGAACACTTTATTGGGAGGGTGCAGGGGTGCCGCAGTGCCGGCCCCGAGGTGTTCTGTGCCCCTCTGAGCGGGTCTAAAGGGCATCACTTGTTCTGTCCCTGCGGCTCGTTTCAGACCGCCTGAAGCGCGAGGAGCGGCGCCGGGAGGAGCTGTACCGTCAGTACTATGAGGAAATCAAGAGGCGTTTCGATGCAGAGAGACCTGTGGATTGTTCTGTGATAGTGGTGAATAAACAGACAAAGTAAGAAGATAGTTACAACCGGTTTTATTATTGCATAGTAGAGGAGAATGGATGTAAACTTAGTCCTGCCTTGAGGCTGTTTCTCTTATGGGTTGCTCTTGAGAAATGTGGCTTCAGAGTCCCCAGAAAGCTATAGCTCCTTGTTACTCTTCTGGGAATATATGTTGATGAGATGTGGAAATGTATCTTGTGATTGCATTTATTTCCCCATTGTTACCTATCTCTGTACCTTCTCCTCATACTTTTCTACCTACTCTTCATATCAGCCTGTCATGACAGGCTGAGTTCTGTTGGTTGGCTGCTCTGCTCTGTACCCCTTGGACGTCTGCAGGCATAAATTTCCTCCCTTAATGAGTTCAGTTTAAACACATGTTTGTGTGAACAAATTTATAATAGTGTAAATCCCTTTGCAAACACTCTCTCAGCTAAGCCAAGGCTTGATTTGTAATTTATTTCAGTTAAACTGAAATGACTGATTCAGATCAGAATAAGGGCTTTTCTATTACTGTAATGGGATTGCTTTAGTACTGTCCTGATAAACATAATGAAGTTGGGCAAGTCATCAGAAAAGCGAATCTGAGATGGTGGAGAGGGTGAATGTGCCAAGGTTTCTGTTTCTGTGTGTGACTGATGTGTTAAACTGCTGGCTTTGCTTTGTGACAGGGAATACGCCGAGTCAGTGGGGCGGAAGGTGCGGGATCTGGGCATGGTAGTGGACCTGATCTTCCTCAACACAGAGATGTCACTGACACAAGCCCTGGACGATGTGAGCAGAGGAGGGTCTCCTTTTGCCATTGTCATCACCCAGCAGCATCAAGTTCACCGCTCTTGCACTGTTAACATCATGTTTGGCACCCCACAAGGTACTGAGGTCTCAGTAGGCTGGGAACTGCATGGTCACTCTGAACCTTTCTTTCAGGCAGAACCACACAGGACAAAGGTCATCCTTGCTGTCACATAAGTAGTTATTAATGAGTTGACACGGTGTCATAAACGTGAATATCATTATTTACAAGCTCCCATAATACTCTGTTTGCCCTTTGTCTAAAGGGCTGTCTAATTCCTGCCAAGAGGGAATCTTGACTTCTAACACTGCCAACTTTCCTGTCTCAGGAAAAGTCATGGACCCCAGTGCTAGAAATGGCTGCACTGCCCTGGGAGATCTCCAAGTAATACCAGCCCAACCTCAGTCTATCACTTGTTGCTCTCAAAGAGAGCCTTTTTGGAACGTGACAAATTACAGAACACATTTCAAATGTGTTTTAATAAAGATTTGGTCAAGGTAGAGATCTGATAATGAAACTGGGAGGAGTTATAAAAAGATAGAACTACAAAGTGTTTGGGTGTATGTGCTCTACTTTTTAGAGCCATTACACTTGTCACATCACTTTCCATCTTGGGATGACTTGGTTGTTGCATGAGGGTGGGTGTAGGTATTAAAAATGCCTTGTGAGAATGTGATCTGGGAAAGCACAGGTGACTGGTTTGACCGAAGTTGAACTTTCAAAGATTATTTCTCCCTTACTTTGTTCCCAAATAATGTTCTGTGAGTTCATCTGGGAGAGGAAATGTCTCAGTGCACAGTCAATGGTTGGTGTGTGCTCACTGACTGGAGAAGCCCAGTTTCTTTTAACATCAGATGCAGATGTGATAGGAGAGTTCCCTCATTTCCTGAAGGAACACAACTCCTGCACACTGTCACTGGGCTTTCCACTGCCCTTGGTTTTAACTCTTAACTCCTTTGGTTTAACACCTGTTAAACCTCTGGCGGGAGGCCAAAGCTTCTTTTCAGCACTGGATCTGCCGGTGTATCAGACCTGGTGGGAGCCCCAGTCATTAGCTCATCCACAGCTCATTGCAGAGATTAAATATGCTCACTTCAACTGCTCGTGGCCACCTTTCCCTGCACGGTTGTTTCAGGGAACTCTTTCACAACCTGCACAAAGCGTAATGTTAAAATGAACCCCAGTTTCCTGTTAGGTGGAAAAGGCTGGCAGGATTGGATGTTCTGCAGGTGTGAAAAGTGCCCTGCCCAGAGCTTTGGGCACTTTTTGGAAGGTGAAGACTCTTTTGATCTCCATGCTTAAATCTGTGTTCAGGGGAATGTTTCCCTGTGTGCTTTGGGAGGTTGAAATAATGACCTCAAAACACACTGTTGGAATTGGCCATTATTCATTTTGTCACAGAAGAACTTGATTGCTGCTTGTTGCCCCAGAGTGGTGAACGTGAGCAGCCATGTGGCACTAAGCCAGTGCTGCTTCCTCCCCAGCTGCACCAGCACATGCCATGTTAAGGCGTTGGCAGTACAGAAACAAAAGTGTTCCCATGACTGTCCTCCTCTGGGAAGCCTACAGCCTTCAAAGGGCAAGTTTTGGGTCTGTCCAAGGGTTTAGCAGTAAAATGACTGGGACTGTATCCTCTTGGAGCGCTGAGGATTTATGTGAGAGGTAGAGGGAGCTGCTTTCCCTTTTAACTGGTGAGAGGCAGGAAAGACATTTCTGGGATGACAGGATGTCTGCTTAGAGCTTTGGGCCTTGGAAGGAAAGGCTGGCCTTGCTGGGCGATAGCTGTGGGCCTTTTGTTGGCCTTGGAAATGTAACTGTTTCCATGTGCCTGGGAAGCTCCCAAGTCTGCACTGGCACTCCCTAGGCAGTGAATGTGCTGTGCTGGCGGTCGGGGGGGAACGGAATCTCCCTCAGTGTCACTTCAGGTCACTCAGGAACGGGCACCTCCCTCAGTGTCACTTCAGGTCACTCAGAGTGTTTCTTTCCTTGTGCAGAACACCGCAACATGCCCCAAGCTGATGCCATGGTGCTGGTGGCAAGGAATTACGAGCGCTACAAAACAGAGTCCCGGGAGAAGGAGCGGGAGGAGATCGCCCGGCAGGCTGCCAAGATGGCAGACGAAGCTGTTCTGCAGGAGAGGGAGCGCCCACCCCCCATGGAGGAGGGTGTCAGGGGAGGTCACCCTCCCGGGATCCAGGCTCTCTTGAACCTGCTGGCAGACAATCGCTACCTGACTGCTGAGGAGATAGATAAAGTCATTAATTACCTGAGGGACCGGAAGGAACGGTTACTGCGGGGCAGCTCTGAATCTCTGCAGGGTGAGTCTCTCAGCCCCAGGCAAGGTTTGTCTTGTGGTTTGTGGCCCACGGGGCTGGGACAGGAAAGGAGTCCTGGCACTGCAGAGGAGTCTGGGAGCATGATTTTACTAAGATGGACATGTCCTTGGGAGTCCTGAGACAATTCAGAGTTTTCATGTGGAAGACCTTTTATAGTGGATTCTCTCAGGGCACCCACGGGACTGCTATAACTGATTGGGCTGCTGCACTCAGTTCTGCAGTGTGGTTTGGGTTCCTAGAGCTGTGCAGCTCCAGTCAGAGGGTGGGTGTTCACTGATGCTGTGTCTTTGGTAGCAATTTCACTAGTTTTCTTTAGATGCCCATTCAAGGGCATTTGTAGAGCTTTAACCACCTTTCCTTCCTTTCCCAGCACCCATGTCAAGACAGTCTTTGGGGGCACCTTCAGGATCATCCCTGGGTAGTCAGTCCAGCCTTCCAAGCTCTCAGACTCATCAGGGTTCACAGCCTCTGGTCTCTACTCCTTCTGTTCCAGTATCCTCTTCTAATCCTCAGCAGGAGCTTCAAGCAAAAATCCTCAGTCTCTTCAACAGCGGGGCGGCAGCAGCGGCGGCCGCCGTGGCAAACAGCAGTCCCGCGGCCCCCGCGGGCTCTTCGGGCAACACTCCCAACCAGAACTTTGCTAACCTGGCCAGCGGGCAGCCCCGGCCAGCACAGATGAGTGCTGGAAATCTAAACCAGGCTCAGCAGAGATTGCAGACTCCAAGCACGCAGCTTCCTGCTCTGCCGGGCCCTTCGAGAAACGCGGGTCTGAGACCTGGGGCTCCTCCACAACCTCAGCCGCTCTATGGTCAGCACCAAACCCGCCTCCCTGCGCCTGGCAGTGTGCCCGCTCAAAGGCCAGTGTCCTCTGGTATCAACTTTGACAACCCCAGTGTACAGAAAGCCTTGGACACCCTTATCCAGAGTGGTCCTGCGCTCTCCCACCTTGTGAGCCAAACTGTGGCCCAGGGGCGAGCAGGGTCCTCAGCCCAGCAGCCGATGGGTTCCTACCAGCGACACTATTAGAGCTGAGCTGTGAGGCCCATTCCCCTTCCCTTTGCCATTCCATACTTATAGCTGTTTAAGGAGTCTCCCATCCTTGACCCAGGACAGATGCCCTGGACGTGCATGTCCTCTCCACTCTGGTGAGAGCATACCCCCCACAGCATTGCTGCCCATGGTTGCTGGTGCTGCCCTCCTTCTCCTTGATCTGGTTAGCAGTGTTTGGAGCAGAATGCTCCATTTTCTCTGCAGCACAATGTTGGATCATTGGTTGTGTTGTCCCATCCCAGAAACTGCCGCAGTATCAGTCCTGCTGCATTTTCCTCACTCCCAGCACCTGGTGCACCTTCCCACTGAGCTGCAGTCTGGGCTCACTGAATGGTCTCAGTATAGTTTTGGGTCAGTGGTTTTGAGGAATTAAGGGACTGAACACAGCGTCGTGCTGATGGGCCTTGGACACCCACCACTGTAGGCACTGTTTTTCTTTGGAATTCTTTTTTTTTTTTTTTCTTCTTTTTTTAATGGTGTATAAGCCAGTTGGGAAGTACAGTGATAACACTAGCAGCCAAAATCGTGAAGCACATGCCTGACCACTGCTCAGTAACCAGAACTGTGCCCTGCAGTCCCTCCATGCTGGCCTGCCGTGTCCCGGCAGGGAGGCACGTGCTCCTCACCTCGCCCTGTGTTGAGCACAGATCTGCAGCACGAGAGCTTCCAGCCAAGGCAGAGGTTTCAAATGGTCTGTCAGTGTTCCTACACCAAGTAATCAGTGTCAAGATCAGTCTGTTAAATTTGGTGTATAAATTTCCTTTTCTTACAGCCTTTGGGACGGTTGTTAGTGTAGATCAGCTGCAGCCATGCTGATATGCTGCTGGCCCTCCCCTGGGAATACCTAACTCTAAGTACGGGGGGGAATCCTGCTCTCTGAAACCTCACCTTGTTGTTATGGGGCGTTCTGTCCATCTGAGGAGGAGAGGCAGTGCCAAGATGCAATACCATAATTTTATACATTTTTTCAGTGCTTTGGTAGCTGCAGTGGACAGTGGAGTGGAAGATCAGGCAGTGATTCTTCACCGTGTTTTTAACCGGTAACATACTTTGATACCAGAACACAAAACATCTCTTAACTGTGTGGTCCTCCCCATCATGGCCTTCTTGGAGTCTGTGGGTTTCCTACAGGGAACCGAGAGACACTGAGGAAGCAGAGGATTTACTTTGTCCCAGGTGGTTTTGTGTTGTAGCATTTCTTTTCTCTCTGTGCTGTTAACAAGAGGACATTACTTTCTAATAAAAGGCCATAAAAATTATTTGTTGCATTTTTTGACACCTCAGTACTCCTGGAATACGTTATTCTGCTGTGTTTGCTGTTACTCTGCTCTCCTGGATGAGCTGTGCCAGAGGCTGCTCCATGCTGGATGCTGAGTGGAACACGTGCAGACCTCGCTGCAAGAGCATCCGTGCTGTCTCAGTTTATAACACCTTGGTTCAAGGGACCTCACAGGTACTTGCTGTCACAGAGGACTGGGGTGATCCTGGGCAGTGTGTGGGGTCAGGGAGCAGCACGTGGCAGGGCTGGCAGGAGAGGTCAGGAACCTTTCCAGTGGCCAGTGGTGGGAGAGGTGGGCAGGGCTGGTCCGTGTCACTGCTGCAGCTGCTGCACAAGTTTGGGGTCTGCGAGTCCCTGTGCCTTCAGCACTGGCATCCCATGACTTCAGGCTGCTGTCACCACACAGCCTGAACCTGGACAGCAGTGTGTCTGTCTGCCATCCCTCCTTCTGTCTCTGTTAGACCCCTTTCTCTGCCTCTACAACCCTGCAACCAGGTAAAGCACCTCTGCTGGGGTGATCAGAAATCTGCATGAGGTGAAACGTGGGAACTGCAGCCCCTTGGGAGAGGCTGTTCCTCTCCTTGTGGTGTGCTTCCTCTGCAATCTGCTACTCCCTGTCAGGGCTTGCTCTGTGTTATGGCAGTGGTGCAAAATAGCTGTGGAGACCTGGAAGCAAGTGAAAAGTCCCCGTGCAAGTAGTGAAGGGTGTAATAAAATCATTTATTGCATTTTGTGCAGACAGGAGTCTAGAAAAATGAATACAGGTAAAGCAGTAAAGCAGTAACAGGGAGCATTCAACAGCCGAGGAGCCACTCCTCCATGGACACCTGCACAGAGAACACGGGGTCTGCACCGAGGCGGCCTAATGCACAACACTGAAACACGCACAGAAATTAAATGCAAGCCTAATACTTCTTTTTTTGGTTTGCAACCTGTTTTATTTACAAGGTTTTAAACTTAATTGCATTGCTCTGCACACAGATTCTCTAAAACACAAAGCATTCTAGGTCACTACATGTCTATTGAAATATTGCACTCGAATAAAAGTCACTTGAATGGACGGAGAACATCTAGCTACAGTGATTAAAAGAGTATTGAATGAACCGACTTCGTGATAACATTCATAACAAATATATTGCACATGTAGCACAGAAAGTGTTGTAACCAGCAAATCTCAGACCTTTTGGTCTTTCTGCTAGTTTTTAGTCCTGCTACACAGAGGAGGGTCTTGACTCTTCTAGTGCAACTCTTGCCTTTGTGCGGTCTCTTGTCCTTCCTCTCGTCCAGCCACGGACCAGCACCCGCCCAGGCTGGATGCTGCCTGTGCCTCCCGTCCCTGCTGCTCTGTGGCTCGCTGCCAGTGCTGCATGGTGGCCACAGCGACCTGAGCTGCCACTGCCACTCGTGGGGGCCAGGGCTGTTGGCACCCCCGCAGCAGGGACCGGAGCACACGCCACCAGCGCTGTGCGCTGGCCCAACGCTCCCCGCCTGCTGCGGCCACGCTCCAGCCCACCCTCCCACGGGTCGTGCTGATCAGTGCTGCTCCCAGCAGCAGCCTGCCTGTGAAACAAACTGGGGGGTCAAGACCTTCCTGTCTGGAACAAAAACCGGACCGTGTCTGCGCATGTGCCAAGGAGGAACTTGCATGTCTACCAGAGGAGGACACTGTCTTCACCACGGTGGAGCGGCAGAAGGGTGCTCCATGGGGAAACTGAACACTCACAGAGGCCAAACGTGCAGGGCTGGGTTTGTAAACTAACATGCAGTGCTGTCTGCTAAAACTGGCCCTCTCCAGCCGACGGCGAGGGGACGCGCTGTGGAAACCAGCTCCTGTCTTGCCACAGCCAAACTGCCTGGCAGGGGTGTGGGGGCAGCCCTGGCTCTGTCCAGAGCCGTGCCCCTGCTCTTGCTGGAGGATGGGGAAGGGGGAACACCTTTTTTTAGGAGTAGTGACGGAAAGGGCTGGCCTTCCTTCTCCCTGGCAGAGCTGGGACCATGGCTCTGCTGTCAGAGTGGAAGTGGTGCTGAGGGGAATGGGATCCACTGACAATGCTGGGGGGATGGAGCAAACCTCTCAGCAGAGAAGCATGCCCTGGCTGCTCTCACGTCACTCCCAGCTGCCCTGTACCTGCAGCCGATGGAAGAGCCCCTCACGTGCTGCTGGGAGGTCGGGTGCTGTCTGCGTGTGACCTGCCTCTGCCCTCGGCACTGACCTGCTGGGGCAGGAGGGCACTGGGCTCACTGCCTCAGGCCCAGCAGGGCAGCAGCCAAGCTGCAATTAGAGGGCGACTGCAGGTAGCATGGTGGCATCTTGTGAAGAGGCAGAGCAGCTGGCAAGCGTTTGAGGCCCAACAACACCACGCAAACACATGAGCTGCGCGGGCAGGCTGCTGTGCCTCCCCCACTGCTGTGCCTCCCCCGCTGCTGCTGAGCTGCCTCAAATAATTTGGGGAGGCTGCAAACAGCACGTGAGCCTGTGTGTGGTGGTGTAGGGCCAGCTCCAAGGGGCAGAGCAGCTAGACACTGGCAAAGTCCTGGTTCCCATGGGCTGCCCTTCCTAAAACTAAAGGAACTTTTCACTTGCAGACTCCTGCCTGCTCTTCCCACAGCTGAGGCGGCGGCAGGACTGGAGAGTGCTGCCCTGTGCATCTGCACCGTTTGTCAGCCCCGAGCTCCTGTGCTGAAACCAGGCCTTGGATCAGCCTGACAGTCCCCCTGTAAACACTGAGCTCCCCATGCCCATGGGAGTGGCTTCCACAGCAGCGTCTGCGACACAGACCTGCAGCCACGCAGGCAGCCAAGCTACCCTGGCAGAAAGTCTGGCTGTGGCTGGGATTGCTGCTGGAGACAAGGGAGGCACTTTGGGAGTGATGGAAATGTAGGAGCAAGGTATGAGCAGGCACAGATGTGCAGCTGGGGCTTGGTTTTGGTCTAGGAGTGTGTCCAAGTAGTATCTTAGAGAGAAAAAAAAAAAACCAACATCAAAAAACCCACTGCTTTTTATCCAAGCATCCCCAAATAGCTTTGGCCTGGACCCGGAGGAGTAGAGGAGCTCTGCAGAGGGAGCGGGGGCTGGAGTGTCCGGTGCAGAGAGTATTTCCTGCTCTCAGGGAGGCAGGAGCCAAGGTTGGCAGGGGGGATGGATGGGCAGGGGGCTGGGACCAGTCAGGGCTGCCTGTGCCAGGTAGGAGGCAGCTGCTGCCTGGACGGACACCCGTGGGGATGCTGCTGCAGCACCCACTCCCTCTGCACCTGCTGCAGTGCAGAGCAGCACTGGGGAGCTGGCTAGGGGGGCTGAGGGGGCAAGTGCTTCAGCGTGGGGACTCAGCTCTGCCCGAGGACGAAGCGCTGCCTCAGGGGCCAGGCTGGCACAAAGCCGCCAGCGCTGCCAGGAGAGGGCAACTCTTAGCAGGCTGCACTTTGAGTGGAAGCTCAAATCTGCTGTGAAACAAGTTCAGAAAAGTCTGTGACTTCTTTTCCCTGAAAACTCTTAAGAAGCTAAATTGAGAAGAGAATGAACCTGCGACCTGGCCCTTTCCCAGGGGCTGCTGGTGGCTGGGGAAGGCTGCAGCCTCCACCACTGCTCTGGAGCACTCGGTGCAACGGATGGGCTCCTGGTTCGTGCAGGAGCAGCCCGGCTCAGCTCCCTGTCCCTGCGGCCTGGTGCTAGCAGAGCCCTGCATCTCTCAGAATAGATATAGATCTCTATATATAGACTTCATCTGGTTCTATTAACATAAATATGATCACTTTAAAAATACACGTACTGTATTATGTACACTATGTACATGGGGCTGGGGCGGGCGCCGGCGGCACCCTGCTGCCCTCGCACCGCTTCCTGCGTGGTTCCTGGAACCGTTCACATTTGCTAAAAGCGCCTCAGTTTCTCTGCTGTGAGAGATGCTGGGAGGGAACGGCGACGGGGGCGACCCTGAAGCTGCTGCCAAAGATAAGAGGTGTTTGATCTTCCCCAGTGGGCCCTGCTGCCCGTGTACAGGGGCTGACGGCTGCGGCGTGACCGGTGCCAGGGCTGCCCTGGCCGGCGGGGTGAGGGGGTGCCAAGATGCTGGGGGGCAGTGGGACCCCTACAGCCCCCACCTCGCTGTGGTGTCTGGCTGGCCAGACCAGCAAACAGCCTTTGCATATGTTAAAAATACACACAGATCCGGACAGTCCTACAGCCCCCGGCAGCATCTGCGTCTGCCAGGGGCCGGGGCCGGGTTAGCAGCGAAGCCCTGGGGAGCAGCAGGGAGCGCAGCGGGGCACAGGGAGACCCGGACACGCGTGCAGGTGCTGGGGCCAGCCAGGCTGGCTGTGCTGGGCCCTGAGAGCCCCCAGTGCAGTGAGGCAGCGGAGCAGGGTGGGGATGCTCCTGTGCCAGGCCAAGACCAGGCGCTGGTGCCTCGGGGGTCCACAGCACCCACGTGGCTCCAGCCACCGGAAAGTGGTCCCGGCTCACGCTGCACATGGTGGGGACTCTGCACAGCTCCCAACACTGCAGCTCCACACCCCAACTGCTGCACAAGCACCTGGAGAGCGTCAGGGCGGAGAGAACCTGGAGTCAGCAGCGGGGGGACAGGGCACACCCCACAGCCACCCCAGGCTGGGGTTCCGGCTGTGGCAGCACTGCCGTGCTCCAGCACCTGACTCCTCGCAGCCAATCCCCCACCCTCTGCCCCCTCCAAACCATCATCCTGCATCTCCACAAGCTCGGCCCACAGCCTCCAGAGACGGCAGTGCCGAGGCAGCGGCGAGGTGGGGCTGTCCGGGCCCATGACGGTGAGGGGCAGCGGGGGGACAGTGCCATGGGAGGCAGCCCCAGGAGCTGCTGGACGTGGGGAGAGGAGCGTCCGGCGAGGAGAGCGTGGTGGTGGCCTCTGTCTTCTCCCAGCACCTCGCAGGGAGGCACGGCACAGGCGGCGGGCACAGGGCACACTCCAGCCGAGCTCCACACAGGGGTAACAGCACGG